TAAGAATTAAGAGTCGAAAATGGTACATCGAATCGTCTTCTTTCTATAATAATCTGATGTAACGTCAGAGCTTCCGCGCTATGCGCGGAGGAAGGGGAACTTTGATTCAAGCAAGGATTAAGAGTTGAGAATGGTACATCGAATCGTCTTCTGTCTTAAATAATCTAATGAAACGTCAGAGCTTCCGCGCTACGCGCGGAGGAAGGGGAACTTGATTCAAACAAGGATTAAGAGTCGAGAATGGTGATCGTCTTCTTTCTTTAATCATCTAATGAAACATCAGAGCTTCCGCGCTTCGCGGGGGGGGGGGGACTCCCCTCCCTGCACGCAACCCCCTAGGGACCGCGCTTCGCGTGCTCACTACCGCCCCCTAGAATGAAATCCTGGCTACGCGCTTGGGGGGGGGGGTGCAACTTGCCACACGCTTCTACCTCTTGATTGCTTTGATCCATTGCCGAAAATATTTTGGCACCTATCACCCCCCCCCCCAACCACGGATACAAATCGACACCCTTGCCCTCCCCCCCCCCCCCCCCATGACGGATTCGCCATCGATCTCTATTCGCTAGATGCTTACAGTTGCAAAGTTCATCAAATTCTGGCCTAATGCGAATTCAGCTATGTTCTTGTGTGAATCGCATCGTCTTTGAAGCGGCCACGCCAATTCTTTATCACAAGAACCCTCGTCAATAATTAATTACTTATACGGTAAAGTGCATTAGAATAATCAACTGTCCAATTACTATAGTACTATAGACGGATAAGACTCCTTTGCACGCATTGGCGTATCCGACAGAGGGTGTAGCCGGGGTATCCCCCGCTCTCCCCCTTCCCTCCTCATATTTGCACCGTTAAAGAGCAATCCTTGTGATAAGTTCATTTGTATAAACTAAATAATAATAATATAAACAGAATGACAAACGTTTGAAATAAAGCAGACCAATAAGAAAGTTATGAATGTTTGAAATTTAAGATCACCAAGTCCCGGGGGGGGGGGTAATAATTCTATGCGAATCTCAAAATGGCAGTTTGGTCAGTGTACAGTTGAGGAAAGCTCCCGTTTGTCGAGTACACATTATCATTAATTTTGTTTTTCTCCTAATTGCCTTCTCCCTCGGAGCACTACTCAAAGTATTTTATGGATAGCGTATTTAATACTAAAGGTCCTCTATGAAGAAAACAAATCTGAATCATAACTTTTAGTCATTTCTTGACTTGGAACAAGTGGGAAAGGTGTCCTCCATTATATCACAGAGACATTACCGATTTAGCCAAATCGAAGAGCACATACCATAGTGATTACAAGTTTCAAAATTGCATAACTTTCTCATTTTTGTTGTCAGAATTTTATTCAATCTTTTACCACTGGTATGCTTTTCTGATTTTGCCATCTTTCATCAAGAGTAGTTTGGTATCAAGTTTTTATTTATGTTTAACTCTAGACCTATACCTTAGGTACATGTAGTTGTGATCAGACATTGTATAACCGACCACACTGCACATCAACGACTAGCAGTGGATCCACGCCCCTAGGACTGCCAATCTGACAAACCCCAACCATTACCCCTTCTGATTGAATCAACAAATTGCGATGGGTCAACGATACGCTTGCAGGCTTGCTAAAATATCACCCCTCCCCCATTTTGTTGAAGAACCATCTTTCCCCTATCTGTTAATGGAAATTGGCAAATCTGTACCCCCCCCCCCCCCCCACCCAAGAAAAAAAACAAAAAAGTCCAACTGCATTCAAATTGTTTTGTCAAAGGCTAAACGTATGTAGGATGATAAATGTCTGATTTTATTTCGATAGTCTCCTTTCCGTATTAAATCTAATTTTGTCGGCTCATTTAACAAATCATGGACAACTGCAAATGTTTATATTTAACTTTTCTATTGTCCGGATAATTTGATAGATGGGGGAGGATTGTTCCCGAATTTATTGCGAATTCAGTAGTGAAGACAGGAGCCTTTATTAGTAATTTGAAAATCCGAGGACCCCCTTTTTCTTTACTTGTCGATAAACAGTGTCGTAACGACAGAACGACAGAGAGGGGGGGGGGGGGGGGGGGAGGAAGAATATTTTTAAAGAAAGAAAGGTCGTTATATGAATGGCAAAATAAGGGCAACACTATTCCCTTAATCTGAGGTCTTGTATATAAACCAACATTCCATGTAATGAGACAGGTGCCCATCCCCAATGAAGCCAGTGCCCCACAATGGTTGCACTCATTCTAATATACACTATACCATGGCCAATGCCCGTAAAATACGCTGTTGCCCCCCAGCCCCCCCCCCCCCCCCCACTCAGTGTTATTTAGGGTACGCATATGCTTGTTCCATCTTTTTGAAAGCACCCCCTATCTGAGGACTGCCAACATTTTCGAACCCCCCTTTCGCGGGCTTTTCGCGGGCTTTTCCTGCCTTGGAGACCCCCCCTAAATCAGGAAAAATGCTCTATGTAACCCCCTAAATTCGGAATAATTTCTCAGGAGTCCAAAGAGATGAGAGAAAAAAAGAAAAAACACCCCTTTTTAAAGAAATCTCCGGGTGAAAAGTCAAATACACCCTTTTTTTTTACAATTCTCGGGCCGGACTTTGTCGCACGAAAAGTACCCCTTTACCGGACATTTTGGCAACACGCATGCGGTCATTCCGACCTCTGAGTGGGGGGGGGGGGGGGGGGGGGCGGGTGTTGCCCATAAAGATCGAATAATTTTGTTCTTACCTCTTCTTGAAGTGAATATGAGCATATGGTTATTTTTGATAGATTCGGTTTATATCTTCTAAGAACTTGATTGATCAATCTAAACAGTCATAGAGATTGATCAATAAACGTATGGTAGATATAAACTTTCTGTATCAAGAATAAACCATATTGTTATAATCGTTAAATGAAAAGAGGTAAGGAAAACTTTATTTAGCCTTATACTATAGGCAAAAAGTGTAATAAATTCAAACGACCCCACGGCCCCATCCACATTCGAAATGTGCCCCGATACCTGTAAATACTAAATCTAAGAGAGTTGTTTCTACCTTTCATTAAAACGTCATTACGTATACAAGGGCGGAAATCTTTTAATCCAACTAATTAAATCATTTAATCTACCTTATTAACTCTATTGACTCATGTAAGAGTCAATGCACTCCTTAGGTAATATTGATGATCTATCATGACTCCTAGGTAGGACTTCAAGTTAAAATCGTATGTGTGTGAGAAAGAGAGAGGGAGAGAGAGAGAGAGATAGAGAGAAAGAGAGAGGGAGAGAGAGAGAGAGAGAGAGAGACCGGGGGCGATGGAAAAAAAAACAGTGGTGAGAGAGGAAGAGAAGGGAATATTAATAATAATTATGATAATAATGATAATAATAATAATAATAATAATAATGATAATAATAATAATAATAATAATAATAATAATAATAATAATGATAATAATAATAATAGTAATAATAATAATAATACTGATAATAATGATAATGATGATAGTAATAATAATACTCATCATCATCATCAAAATGATATATAGGTTTTGATTAATGAAATAAGAGAGAGAAAACAAAATATGTCCAGCAACATGCAACGGTCGTGAATGTGATTTCTTTTTGTAAATGCCAGAGCTATGAGAATAACTGTCAAGCGCCATCTATAGTCAAATTCAAGTTAATGTTCAAACATCTATTCATTGAGAATTCCGTCGAAAATATTTAGAATAGACCAGTTCACGGTTAGCAAATTACTGCAATGACCCCGAATATCCACAGATCTTCAAAATATGAAGAGGTCCCACTTTGTACATTTTGAAATAATCACTCCTACAGCGATGGAGGTGCTATATAAATAGCCTTTGTTTCCCCTTTTCAGAGAATACTTCCACCTGTGTATCAAGGAGTGCACTGAAAGTGCATGACTGAATAATGATTACATAACTTTCATGAGCATGTATCCAGTATTTCTTCTCCGTGTATTTCAAAATTTGTTCTGCAATGACCTTGATCTGCTCATGCTCAGACTGCAACCGTGAACTGGCTTATTATTTTACCCCACTTCTAGCCGAGTTGATCTCCTTCTTATCATTCTTAAATCTGTTTTCGCCTTCGACAGATTTACAATTAGGTCATTAACTCTTCCGTTTTATTCGACTGCAGAAGAAGAACAAAGAGAAAATGGAAAAGGAGAAGGAGAAAGAAGAGAAAGAAGAAGAATAAGAAGTAAAGCAAAATGAAAATAAAAAGAATAAGGAACGAAAGAAAGCATTATCATCATATCTTGTAAATCTTCACTTCATTATCAAAATATTAAGATAGGTGCTGACTTAGCGGCCGTATGTCATTACAAAAGAAGAAAACACAAAGAAAACAGATATGGATCAGCAAACCAAAATAGAATAGTAATATTATTAAATCGATTAAATTTAATGTGTATTTATTGAAATAAATTGTTAGAATGTATTAACAAAATCACATTTCACATACGAAACAAATCATTGATAAAAACTTCATTAGAATCAATCATTTGAAGGCAAAATTCAAAAAATTAAAAATAGAAAGAAAAGCAAACTCTCATGTTGACATAGTTTAACCTAATGTACAGAACTTTTTCGTTACTTTACTAAATATAACCTTCCTAAACTGTACAACTTTTATATAATTGTATATATACATGTAAATACTCATTATCATCACCATCATCGTCGTCATCATCATCGTCATCATCATCACCACCATCATCTTCCTCATCAACATCATCATCAACATCATTATCATAGTTATTTTCATCATGATAGTAAGCAGTAAACAGAAAAGCGAATTTATCCAATTCCATGACAAGCAATCCGTAGCTATACGTATTGAATTAAAATTAGTAAAATAAATAAAGGTACAAAAATTAAAAAGAAATGAAAAGCTTGAACTCGATTGTCTGTTCGACCACAAACAGTTTCATGAACACTGCCCTCTCGTGATAAGGGACAGCAAGTCAACAACCGCATTCTTTTATTTCCCCTTGCTTACTTGCGCCTTAATATTATTAATTATTAAAAAAAGGTTATCATGTGGTTTGAGGTCCTGTGAAAGCTTAGATACATTGGATCACTTTAAACAACGAAGGGCGGAGGCATTAAACAGAATTTAACGTTTAAAAGAATTTAAGACCTCGGTAACATAAATATATTACCTGACCAACGTGCGGTGCATTATAGCCAAAGCTTGGTACAAGATTTTGACGGCACTTTTTAAAGAACCTAGTGCTCAGTCATCCGTATGAATATGGTATAAGTTTATACAGAACACAAATTATTCTTTACCATCAAAAAGATTTCAAGGCAACATTGATTATTAATTTTTAATAATAAGCTACCAAAGTGGGGTATACTTTTTTTTATACGCACTGTAGATACAATTTAAAGCAAACAGTTTGCAAGCTGCTTAAACAATAATCAATATCTTCTGCAATATAATTTTTAGATAAATAATTGTTGTGTGAAAGGTATATCCTAAATTCAAAAAATATTTGATGCATATATAATATAACGAGAGCAAAGACCTTCGAAAATGTTAAAAGTAATACAATTATTATGGCCTTTTAAATCACAAATTGAATTGTGCGAATATTAACATGACGTATTACGCAACCCGAACATGATTTCCTTGCTATAAAAGTGCATTGAAATTACCCTTGAGTTGTTCTTTCCATGGGTTTGGTGTTCTTGTTATTTCATAATATAGCCAACAGTAGTTATGAGTATACCTTTAACAGAAAGTCCAAACAATCATAACTTTCGTATTATTGGTCCAAAACTATTTTAAACTTTTACCATTTTATTCTGTTTCTCTTATTTTCTTGCTTTCATACAAAGGAACGACATATAATTATAAATGTTGGATTGCCCTCGTTGTTAACGATATAATTATGAATATTATTACATTTCGAACTTCATCGGTTTACATTCATCGGTTTGTTTCCATCGGTTTCCTTCATATATAGTTTAACTTCCATTGGTTTGCTTTCGTCTGGTTGCGTCCTATATAAATTTCCTTCCTTCGGTTTGCCTGGTGGTTTGTCTACATCAGCTTGCACTCGTCGGTTTCGTTCGGCGGGCCGTATCCATCGGTTTTCCTTAATCGGTTTGCATCCAATGTATGTCCTACATCGGTTTGCATCCATGGCATCGGTTTGCCTAAATCACCTTGCCTTTATCGATTTGCCTTCACCGGTTCGCACCCACCGGATTTCCATCATCGGTTTACCTCAGTCGGTTGGGCTTCATCGGGTTCCTAAAAAAAACGCTGAGGCGCTTATGTTGTCTTATGTTGTTGAAGGTTAGCCATGACAAATTGCACTAAATTATTTGTCATATTTTCTGGCTACCAATGTACAAACAAAAATTCCCAACATTTATTGAATTCTTACATCAAAGTGTACGTATTCTATCTGTACATGCGGTATTCTAACTTCATTCTAGTTAGTTTTTCACCATATAAATTCTTGACAAATATTTTTTTTTAAAATTCTTATCACCAATGTAAGACAGGTGTGCCCGATTTGAATCTCCTTAACTGTCGCTTTGTCAAAATGTGAACAGTTTGGCGAAACGCATTCAAATAATTGAGATCAACACATCATGTGACGTGTAATTGACAAAGAATTTGGCATGCAATCGTCCTACCGGGTAGCCTGGTACCCGAACCTGCTTCTGAAGTACACTACGTACAATCTGGAGGAAAGCACTGCTCAGTTTCGCTGTGAGAAACGACTGGACACCATGCAGAGTGACGTCACTCGTGCGATCGAAATGTGCGTTCTGGAATAATAGCCAGCGTTATAGTAAAATGTGTGGATATGACCCAGCCATTGAACTAATATAATGAACAGTATGTCTCTAAAATCTTTGGAACAGTGACATATCACGTTGCATTTGGAAAGCCAGAGTGTAATCAGACTAATCAGACAAATTTCAAGGCAGTAATTGAAAGATTCATCTCCGATTAATACAAATCAGTTCTGCAACAGCAAAGGCAGCTTCTAATTCAAAGGCATTATGCAGTTTAGTCTAAAACGTCTAAGACTAAAAATGTAAAATATAAAGTATCTTCTTACAGTTTTACTCTTTTTCAGTTCTAACTGTTGCAAAACCACCAGCAAGGCAAAGATGCATGAATTAGCCTAAGCACCATGATTATGACGTCATCCCGACGCGTTGTTTTTATACAAATCACCCCGGACACCATTCCGCACCTTCTTTAATTCTGTTCAAAGTAAATTGCTCAACACAAGGCAAATTGTTACTATTTGGTTCTTGTTCCATAGATTCAAGTTTTGTTTGCGACGACAAAACTAGATCACGTGACCACGACGTCATCGCGACAGATCGGATTCCAGCGTTAGCTCGGATTGTCGGCTTTCGGATTGGTTTGAGAAGCGCTGCGGTTTCCGCCTTCCCTGGGGTCCGTGTATCCGCTTGTACGGTTTCAACTGGGGCGTTTCAATGACAATCTACAAAATAAACACATCAACAAGAAAAAATTTATCACCTCATGAAAGTACATAGCGGTTTCTATTATTTCTTTTTTCACGAACTTGACGTTATTCTCAATTAGAAATAAATAAATCTATATATAGCTCATTTTCTCTCACGGCATACTTAGATATGTCTTGCGGCATCCCAGGGTGCCGAGGCACTCCGATTGATAAATGCTGCTCTATTGCACTTTGATGGAAACAAACATCTCCTAACAGTGCTACTTTACAGACACACAATAAAACAAAACTATCCAAAAGCTTCTGAAAACAAGTGCGTCTTCAACAAAACTTTGAAAACAGCAACATAATTTATGAGGCTTTCCTTAGGCCTAGTGGTAGGTTTTTCAAAGTTTTTGAGCGGCATAACTGGCCTGAAATATACTCTAAATTGATCAGGAAGTGATTTTGAGCATTTTCAAATGTTGACGCGCTTTTAGGAGCAGGTTATGATACACACATGGACACTATATAACATAACGGATATTGACCCTTGACCTGAAGTTAAGTTAAGGCTTGTTAAGAAAATATGATTGATATTGCGATTTCACAATAATTGTCGCCTAGATGACGTCACGTTTGAGTGATCATACTGAAAGCGAGAGGTCTTCTAGTCCTGACCAGGGGGAATTAGTGGGGCAAAATTGAGTGATTGAATGGTGCGTGATTTTTTAAAGAAAATGTGACCACACAAAAAGTTACAGAAAAGAAAGAATAAAGATTTTTTTTAACCATAGAACAAAGATCAAGAGGTGATATGCAGATTTGCTGCAGATCACCTACTAATAGTAATGATAATAATAATATTATATAGCACAGTTCAACGAAGAATGGGTTCTCAAAGAGTTTTACATACACACATTTTATGAACACGGAGGAGATCGATGTATATACTTATAATTACAATTTTAAGTAAATGATATAACAAGCTAAGCTTCTTCTCAATTAATACTCAAAATAAGGATAATATATTGTCATTTTTAAAGGTAGGTGGGGGCAAAGAAATTTACTTACGTCATCAAAGGAGATCTCAGGCGTAGTGTCAGGTGATGTTGTATCTGGCGATGAGGGCGGGTTGCTGGAACCACTTGGACTCGTGTTGTACTTCTTCTTCGGTTTAGGCGCAATGGGAGGAGGGGTAGGTCTGTAGTGGTGGAGGGATAGGGAAAACAAAGATGGAAAATCAAATTAAAAAAGAAGTTGTCATTTTTGGGATATATAGTGTAAGTGACAATGGTGATCCAGGCCTATCTCCAGGGCCCCGTCTTATAAAGAGTTGCGATTGATTAGAATTAAACGAAAGTCTTCCAATTAATCGCAAAACTTACAAACCTCTTTCTGTTTAGTACAAATTTGTAATAAATGTTAATCGATCGTAATTTTTTGGTTCAATTCAAATAAATTCATTTCTATAACTCAATCAACACATGAAAAAATACCTACATATAATTATTACCAAATGAAATGTGCAATAACACATAGAAAAAGAAACTGAAGGGAGGGGTAGATCCATGTGTTCATCACCCTATCTCTTCACACATAACACACATCATCACCATCGTCATCTTCTACCCCCACATCTTAGCGTATGGCGTCATAACATTCCCGCACAGCTTAGACGCAGGTGTAGATGATATCTGCAGTGTTATACCAATTATATATCAATGATAGAGGGAGGGAGGAAGAAGAAAAAGAAAGCAAGAAAAAGAAAGCAAGAAAAAGAAAGCAAGAAAGAGAGAAAGAGAGAGAGAGGGAGAGAGTGGGAGAGGGAGAGGTGGGAGGGAGAGAGAAAGAGAGAGAGAGAAAAAAAGAGAGAGAAAGAGAGAGGAAGAAAGAGAGATAGAGAGAGGAAGATAGAGAGAGGAAGATAGAGAGAGGAAGATAGAGAGAGGAAGAGAGAGAGAGGAAGAGAGAGAGAATGAGAGAGAGAGAGAGAGAGAGAGAGAGAGAGAGAGAGAGAGAGAGAAAGTCTGCACCCCCCCCACACACACACCACACGCAGACACAACATTACCATCATCATTATCATCACCCACTCTACAGATACGCACACGACGCCTTCACATTCATGCACGGCTGTAAGGCGCAGGTGCAGATGATAAGCGCATTGATAGAGCAAATTAGATGGCAACACGAATGGTCGCAGTCGGCACATAACCAATATGATGACGACATTAATAACTGTAAGTGGCTTCAAACGTGTCAATTATTATGTTCGCTATAAGAGTGAAGGGTCTAACAATTTTGAAAATTGGGGGAGGAGGGGGATAATGGTCAAGATAATGATGATGGTGACGATGATGATGACGATGATGATGATGATGATGATGATGATGATAATGTTGTTGTTGTTGTTGCTGTTGCTGATGATTGTAGTGATGATAAGCATGATGATGTTCATAAAGATGATGACAAATAAGAAGATGATCATGATGATGATCACGATCATAATTAAATGGTAATGGTGATGGTGTTGGTGATGGTGTTGGTGATGGTGGTGGTGATGGTGGTGGTAATGATGATGGTGATGATGAAAAATATAAAGACTAATTTGATGATGATAGACTTCGATGGCGATGATGATGATGATGATGATGGTGGTGGTGTTGATGACGATGATGATGGTGATTATGATAATGATGATGATGATGATGATGATGATGATGATGATGATGATTATGATGATGATGATGATGATGATGATGATGATTATGATGATGATGATGATGATGATGATTATGATGATGATGATGATGATGATTATGATGATGATGATGATGATAATAATGATGATGATGATGACGATGATGATTATGATGATTATGATGATGATGATGATGAATTTGTTGATGATAATGATAATGGTTTGTAAATAACAAAAGGAGGTTTGGCGAAACAAAAGGAGGTTTGACCTCAAACCTTGGTCCGAGCTCAAACCTTGCTTTGTGAATTCGGGCCAATGAGGGCAGACTTACTTGTTTGTCTTTGGTCTGTGTCTGTCCCTTGGTTTCCCAGCTGACCGTCTCTGTTTGTTTGACCGTGACGTAGTCGCCTCCTCGCTTGATGACCAATCACTCTCCTCGCTGTCCTGGTCGTGACCAACTGTCCGATACAACAAAAATAAAAACAGACATAGAAGTTATAAACTAACCACTACAAATGAAACCAAAATATAAAGACGTTACAATTTGAATATTAGAAAGTAATTAAACAAAAAGGTAAAAAGTTACCTTTAGAATACAAATCTAAAATATTTAAATTACAACTACAGGTAATAGAAAATAAAACAAACACACGGTAAAAAACCGACCATAAGATCATGAACCAGACACAGATATTGGACATTATAAATTAAACTAAATATGGAAGTTAACAATAATAAACAATTATGAAATATATTTCAATAACATTAATGAAATGTCCCTTGTTTTAATGATAGCAGAATGAAATGTAACGTGCCTGTACAAGGTGCATGCAACTCATGGAAATGGCATTAGTTTTCAGTCAAGTATTAATAACATAATTCAGGCTCAGGTTAAAGGAGGAGGGGGAGGGGCGGGGGCGAGGGCGAGGATCACGTTCACATAAGCATTATCATTTTGTTCCCTATCATCATGATCATTATCATTGTCAAAATCAGTCACAGCCATCATCATTTCATCGTCATCTTCCTATTCCCCATCAGCATAATCCTCCTCGACATTATCGTCAGCATCATTACTATCACCATCATGATCACCATGATGATCATCATCATCACCATCATGATCATCATCATGATCATCATCATTACCATCATCATTCTCAAATCATCATCATCCTCCTCGACATTATCGTCATCATCATTACCATCATCATTACCATCACCATCATCATCATCGCCGCCACCATCATCATTCTCAAACCATCATCATCCTCAATACCGTCATCATCACCATTATCACCTTCGTCATCGTAACAAAATACCCACATCGTCTTCATCTTGAAGATGCTCCTCAGTATCATTACTCACAAGTGCCTTCACCGACACCCTTTAAATTGTGACTTGCCGTCGCATTAGGATTCAAATGCTGGACAATACTGTCAATAATGGGCTTCGTTACCATGGTAATATGCAATTTACGCCCGCTGCTAGTCCACCAGAACGTAGGCGTTAATCGTCTATACACTTGGCATTTTACGCCAAATATGTGACTTATTGTTTGTGCAGCACATCACTCAGACGCAACACTTGAAACTCAATTCAATCAGCATGTACATTTTCTTTTTTTCAGAGAAGGGAAAAGGAACTGTTGTATACAAATTTAGGGTAAAAAACGCTTTAGTCCTGTCATAAACACAAAAACAGTTCTATGCACTAGAGAAGAGAAAGAGATAGAAGAGAGAGAGAGAGAAGGAGAAGGAGAAGGAGAAGGAGAAGGAGAAGGAGAAGGAGAAGGAGAAGGAGAAGAAGGAGAAGGAGAAGGAGAAGGAGAAGGAGAAGGAGAAGGAGAAGGAGAAGGAGAAGGAGAAGGAGAAGGAGAAAGAGAAAGAGAAAGAGAAAGAGAAAGAGAAAGAGAAAGAGAAAGAGAAAGAGATAGAGATAGAGATAGAGATAGAGATAGAGATAGAGAGAGAGAGAGAGAGAGAGAGAGAGAGAGAGAGAAGGGGGATACGAAAGAGCATAGAGCAGCTATATAGGCTTATATAATTGGTGATAAACATATACCTTCAAGGCTATGCATTGTATTATAAGTACACCTGTTTGCGCACCACGCAAATACATAATCTTGTTACCATAAAGCATACAAATGCAAGCAAATCTACACATCACTGTTTTTATCACCATAGCATTGTACTTGCTTTTATCAGGAAATTAACAGCTCATAACTAATATTTGCATGCCTCTGGAATTCCGCAATCTATTTTGGGCTCAATTGAAGTTGTGGAATAATAATATCCTTCTTCCTCTTCCATGTCTGCGGCTGGTCATAATATAGGAATGCTATACCATAACATTGGCACAATTTCTTAAAGAGAAACAATATATTCAAAGCCAAATCACAGAATATGTCTTGTAAAAAGGTCTGCCGAAGAAAAAAGGTATATACTCACTCATAATGACGTACCTATATTAATGAACACATTAACTCACTTTAGCAGTGAAAGTGAAAACCAAAGAGCTTCGCTTAGCAAGCAGGGAAAAACAAGTCTGCTAATAAAAACATCAAACATGTACTGTGACTTGTATGAACGTTCTAATACATGACAGCTATAATGCCTAGTTTGCAGCTTAAGAGCATTTTAGTTGCCAATATGGCTTTGCAAGGTTTTTATGAATATTATCCAAAAAAATTGGTCCAGGTATTTAATAAAACTCGCATTAATTTGGACTTTGTCATCAGCCTCAAACACATTAGTCCCAATCAATACAGGTTCATATTTACATTTTGTTTCTTTGTGTAAACACTGTAAATGTTTACCTCTCTTTTCATCAAATATGTCGAGATACATATTCAGAGAAACCCAACCGAAGTCCATGTACTGTACAGTGTGGTAGGCCACTATCGGGTCAATTTGTCTGAATTATTTGATTTAGCTGAACTGACAACACGTTGAGAAAAAAAATGAGAACATTAACCATTATTGTAATGATTGTAGTTGTTATTATGATTAACATTTTCATTCTTCTTCTAATCATTATCATTCTGATTAGTTTGTATCATTATTATTGATATTATTATATTATGTAGTAGTAGTAGTAGTAACATCAGACGTAGTAGTAGTATAAGTAGTAGTAGTATAAGTAGTAGGAGTGGTAATCATCGCAATAGTATCATAATCATCATTGCCCCAATTGCCATGAATTATTTCATGTTCCATATGGTTTGCCTTGGTTGTAAAAGTAGATTTATTCTTCAAATAATTCGCAATTCCAAAAGTTACCAATAAGAATCTAATCGCTCTGTATATTTCTGAAACAGTTCTCTTGACTTTAAGAAGTTATATACTTCGAGAATATGGTAGGTATGCAGACAATGTAAGGCTTCCGGGGAGTAATTTCCATTTGCAAAGAAGTTTCGGTTTTCACTTAGAAAATAAGTATCGTGTACTCGATCGTGTAACGTTGCGAGCTGTACATTCATTTAAAATCATATACATTTTTATTTAAAAAATATTTAATTCAAATGTGTCAACATTTAGAAACACACGCTTAAAATAGTACTAGTAAAATAGGAAGAATTGAACATGTTAACCGTGTGGGCATTCCGCTTGAATCAAAATTCCAAACAAACCATCATCATGTATTGATTTCCAAGAGCATGGCGTTGCCAGGTAACGAATAGATTTTGACGATGGTTCCCTATCGAGCTTTCGGTCATTTTTGAGGAGAAGCAGAGGAGAAGTGGGGTAAGGGGGGGGGGGAGGGGTGTCACAGGCAGACTTGAATTATTTCTTACCGACCTATCTATTCATCTTTGAAGTATTACTACTACTACCACTACTACTACTACTACTACTTTTTCTCCTACTACTACTACTACTACTACTACTACTTCTGCTGCTCCTACATGTACCACTATTACTACTACTAGTAGCGCTGCTGCTGTTTATGCTTCTAATACTACTACAAACGCCGCAACCAACACTACTACTTCAATTACAGTTACTACTATTTCTACTAATATTACTACTACTGCCGCTTCTACTTCTTCTACTACTACTTCTACAACTTCTTCTGCTACTACTACTACTACTACTTGTTAAGCACATTCAAAACATCGTTTATTGTTGCACTGTGCGTCGATAATGGAATTCAAACATCGAACACCATGGCCCCTCCCCTCACAGCATGATAACTAGACACCGTTCTCTTTGATCTCACGTGGCAAGTATTACTCATCACTCAAGTATTCAACATCACCAGACATGAAACACTTTATTCGTTCTCCCCTCTATTAAAAGCATCGTTTAACAATATTAAGTCTGAGATGCGTGGCCCTTTGTGTTATCAGTTTTTTTTATATGGTGTAACATTGAAACCCTAAATAAATTGCGCTTCAAATGATCATTTCCCCCAATAGACTGTAGCGTTATAAACACCATTAAGAAAACGCAAAATTTGATTTCGATTTCCAATTATAAGTATCTTGATAATCAGACAGGCGATCGGCTTGTAAAAGTCTTGGGACTCCTGACTGACCTGAAGGTATATAATTATGATTGCATCATGAGCTAAATCCAGGATTTTGTTTCAGAATCTGAGGCAATGTTACTGAGTCACTTAAAAAATCTTTCCAAGTGACGACGCATTACTCACTCCATAGCATTACTGTACATGAATGATAAAGACATGCACAACCATCACAACATGCACACGATGATGTATCTTCATTATATTCAATGCACTCCCGGATTACGACATTAAGTTATTTTATTCCATATGTCTGATTTTGTTGTTGGAGGTGGGGGTGGACCTTGTCTCTACAGGGTAATTCATGTTTATATTTGATTTGTAATCATTTCATATGATATGTTCAGGTGCCTTCTGTTTTACAAGCTTTGTGCATTTTGTGGGAAGGTATCCTTTCATCTATTATTTTGCCAAGTTATGTATTCATGACTGTTTATATGCGTTGTCTTTTCATTTTCGGATGATAAATAAATAAAATTGAATCGAATTGAATGGGCCATTATGTAACGTAACGTCAGTTAATACATAATTCTTTGTGAAGTGCCTCAATACAAATTATGTCATTCACTTGATAATAATAATAGTATTTTTATATTCGGATTGGAAACAGCAAATATTAAGTAGTGCTAGGTAGGATAATCCATAATGTATGTCCTACCTGGCAACAACTAATTTTTTATTTCGGATTCTGTCTATTGAAATATTATTATTCTTTAATATCAGGTGATTGAAATAGTTTCTATCGAGGCACTTCACAAATACGTATGCATTGAATTTGGTTACATTGCGAAAATCGCTTTCATTTAATTTTTTTTTCTCTCTCTCTCTCTCTCTCTCTCTCTCTCTTTCTCTCTCTATATATATATCTCACTCTCGCTCTCTCCTCTCACTCTCGCTCTCTCCTCCTCCTCTTTCTCTCTCCCCCATC